GATAGTAAGAATCAACAATATATGTGTGTACGTAAAGACTTAAGTTGTATTGTTACGTAATCTGAATTTTCTAGAAAACCTTCCCACGCCTATAAATATAACTAATGCGACACACCAGAGAGAGTATCTATTATTAGTTCGTTATAGTCAGTGTGCTATAAAATTTCGGAAGCTATAACAGTGATTGTTATAATGCTTACCAATCAGAAAACTTCAGATATTTGATATTGTTTAACTTTAATGGATTCACATCGAACATTAGTACTTTTATGAAAACATTACCTAACGTCATCGTTGGAACTTGACCTGTAATCAGCATATGACCAGCAAGAATTACAGGGCTAGATAGCTCCCTACTAAGTGAATTGTACCTATATCAACTCGTAATCAACTCACTCATCGTGAACCCTCAATAAGATGTCAAGGAAGTTCCAAACTAGAAAGAAGACTTTATATTACTTGTAAGTTTGTGAAACATTTGTTTATAAATCATTGTTTGTAATAACTGTTATTGTAAATTGTATTGTTATGTGTATATTAAAACGTATTTGTGTTAAAAATGAAAACGGTGTCTATCAGTCTTGTTGACAAATATCATAAACTGACTATATACCGGCTTTTACTTGACTACTAAATCCAAAGTACAATTTAACTACTAAATTTAAATTTATCAATTAACTCAGTTTCAGACCATTGAAATTCTAATACATAAAACTGGGCCTTAGATTAGGAAATTGACTTTGGATAAACAGTTTGAAAGGCAATGAGGAAAGTTGAAAAAGAAGAATGGATTGCCTTTAATAGCATTATTGACAAATTTTTTAGGAAACAACAAGGACCCAAATTACAAAAATATTGTCAATAACATGCTCAATAAATACAGAGAGTTGGGTGGTAATATGAGCTTGAATGTTCATTTCTTACACTCACATATTGTATATTTCCCTGAAAATCTTGGTGCTGTCAGAAAAGAAAAAGGGGAATGGTTTCATCAAGACATCAGGGAAATGGAGAGGAGGTAGGTATCAGGAAGGTGGAACATCAGCATGATGGCTGATTACTGCTGGTCATTGAAACAAGATGCTCCAGATGCAATACATAAAAGAAAGACCACAACACGTAGTTTTGAGACTAAAAGACGTAGATTTCACACAAAAATATCAGGATGAATGATGATGCATATTTGTTTGACATCAGTGTTCTTTCCTTTTCTTCAGTTTGTTTGTATTTTGCCAGTATAGGGAAGACACGAGTATATAGTAAGTTTAGGTACAGTTGGTATCTTAATTGGATTTGTGAGTTTCTTTGTTAGGAAGGTGTTGGTAATGTTTTCTAATAAGTGTTGTGGATAGCAGTTACGTTTCAGGATATCATGTAAGAACAAAATTTCAGGCAAACAAAGCTTAAATTTAAAAAATCAACTTAAACGCATACTTGGTCGTTACTACCCTCAAGTGGATTTCAGATTAGTTTTTAAATCCACATCACGCATAAAAAAAATTTTCCCTACTAAAGATCTCCTCCCCATTCCTTATTGTTCCTGGCTTGTCTATCTTTACACGTGTGGAGATTGTAAGCCCTCCTATATTGGCAAAACCCAATGCCATTTAAAAGTCAGAGCCTATGAACATATGGAAATTTCCATCAAACTTAGTTACTTTTTTTAAAGAAATTCTTAAAAAAAAACAGTTGTTTAGGCATGACTTTTGGTGGACAAATCATATCTTACCTTCCTAGCTTCTGTTAGTCTAAAGATTTGTTTAAATCTTCATAAAGAGAGCTCTCTCTACAACCATACAAGTCTTGACAATTAAGCTTTGGAATAGTTTTTCTTATGTTCAACTTAAATTGCTATACAGTCCACAAATAATCCTAAACCTTCACAAATAGCTTTCTCTACTAACATAGAAATCTTGCCCAAATAGCTTATTTCTAATATTTCTCTCCAGTTACTAAATAACCCTCTGAACCTTAATAAAATACTTAAAAGCCTTGTGAAAAGAACTACTGAATTTTCACCCTTCCTTCCTCCCCAGTTCTTGTTTAGTCCACATCTGAATCTTCATAAGTAACTATCTCTATGTATGTAGGCATCTTGCCACAAAAATCTACTGAACTCTTACCCTTTTTGTCTTTCCTAGTTCTAGAATAGTCCAAGTATATGTCTGAGTTTTCAAAAGAACCATCTATGCATACCTAGAGACCTTAACAAAGACGCTATGGAATTCTTAGTTTCTTCCTCCTCACCGTTTCCAGCATAGTCCACATACATGTCTGAACCTTCATATCCTTCCCTAAAAACTTGTAAGTCTTCTTCAAAAAAAGTTACAAGATTCTCATATTTTCTAAGTTCCACTTCAGTTCCAGTGTGATCCTAACTAATATCCAAATCTTTATACAGACCTCTACATATTTGAAAATCTTGGCAAATAAGCACTGGAATTTTTATCTATCCTATTTCTCCACAGTTACTATATAATCCACACATATAAGTGTGAATCTTCATAGCGAGCATTCTCAACAATCCTAGAAACCATGCCAAAGATGCTACACGATTCTAACCTTTCATGTTCCATTGTTATTGTATTACAGTACATACATGTGTCTGAATATTCATGAAAAACTGTTCTTTCATTACAACCCTAGAAGTTAATGTTTTACTACAATGAAAATATATTTCCGATATATATTAACCTCCTCTCACATGATAGCTTTTCTTGTTCAGTGCTGCCCTCTATATGCAGATGTTTTTCACTCGCCACTAGCCTTGAACCTCCCACCTACCGCACATTTCTATGTGGTTCAGCTGTCTTGTAGCATGCAAATAAGCATGTGACAACTCTCCATCAATAGGAGCATGATACACTCTCCTGTCACAGCTGGCTCCCTCTATACTGTAGAACCCAATATTCACTTTTAGATTAGGCAGAAAAGAAGCACCAGAAATGGGGAGGAAGGCTGGGAATTGTTTCTATTGACAATATATTTTTAGTGTAGGAAAATATTAACTTTCAATACGATATTGTACCTTCGCTCATGTAATAACTAGAAACCAACACTGACCTGATGGAGAGACCAGTGCAAAATTTCTCTAGTTGGGCACCTTTCGGAAAGTATTCGGAAAATATTGAGTGGTCTCCCATGAGTGTGTTCCTCTAACAAGAGAAGTCACACTCATGGGAGACCGCTCAATATCTGAACTAAGTATACTCTTCGCTTTCAATGAACGAATGTGTCACTAAATGGTTGGCAAAGAGGCACATGCAAAAAGTAGCCATATGTGCCCCAAGTATAAAGTAGATAGGGCAAGTCAGACCATAGTCAGGACGTTAACTCCAGTTTAAAACCAATGGAACCGAGAATGGATCATTCCATGGTAAGAGGAGGGCCCTCAACTATCTTTATCCGGACTGTAGATGGGAGGTTAACCCCAGTTCAAAACCAATGTCTCAGGGAATAGGTCACCCAGTCCATGGTAGGAGGAAGGTCCTTGACCAACCATAGCTGGACATGCCCATGGCGTAGAGTGGTTAGTGTGCACTGAACCGTATTTGGGAGGTCAACTGCAGTTCAAAACCAGTGGTACCAGGAATGTTTGCATACCTAACACAACCAACACCTGTCCTCCCTGAGAACCTACATCTGGTCGATGGTAGAAAGGTGGAATGCAAGGTTAATGTATCATCCAGTCTGTGGTAGGAGGAGAGTTCCAGCCCACTCGCACTTGAGGACGTATTTTGGCTGGTTGCCCGGAAACCAACATCCAAACGGCAGTAGGAAGGAGGGTTCCCAGCTGGAGGGGTGAACTGCATGTGACAGAAAAGTCCAGTCCAAAACCATATGCCTTCTGGAATAGTACATCAGATCCATGGTAGGAGGACAGTTACACCATCTACACTGGCAGAACACACCCCTCAACTGAATAGGATTGAGCACACTCAGGAAGAAGCCTCCATGGCCCACTACCCCAGCAGCGAAGAGCTGGTAAGTGGTAAGCACTTCTGTAGTCCACTGGAAGAAGGAGAGGAAAATAATGCGTTGGAGAGTTCTGAGAAATGAAGCACTGGAGAAAGTGCAAATGGTGACCATGAAACCCTATTTTCAAAAGCAGGCCATTCCAGATTTATGCAATCAAAGGAGTGGCAGGGACTGGCAGCAATCCCCTTCTGCTTTATTCATGCTAGTCCATGAGTGTACGGTCTGGGACAAACATATTTATGACACAAAACACCACAAGTAAGAACCTACTAGAAGTCTTGCATAACACCCCATCTCAATGGTGGGCGTTACTGACCTTACTGGCTGTACAGTGCGGATTTAAGAATAAGCATACCTGAACAGGCATCATTCATCACAGAGTAGAATCCAATATAGAAGAGTAGTGTGACCCTGTAAGGACAAAGAAAGAAATTAATAACTATACCAATTCACAGTTGAATAGATGTGTGTAGTACAGCTAAAGGCATAATGCGATATCTGGATGAGGATGAAAGAGCTACCCGACAGGGTTAATGGGAGATAAATGTGTTGGGTGTGGTCCACATGCGAGCCTGAATGATATTCCCCAAATGACAAGATAAATAAGCAGCCATGAAAAGGTAAGATGTGTAACTGGATGTAATGACACCTGTATAAACAAACTGTAAGGAGTTGAGAGAAAGGGATGGATACGCCAGTCTGATAAGTTGGCAACTCCAACCTGCGAGGTTGGGGAGTGAATACTGGGTTCTACAGTATAGAGGAAGCCAGCTGCAACAGGAAAATGTGTCACACTCCTATTGGTGGAGGGTTGTCACATGCTTATTTGCATGCTATAACACAGTTAAACCATGTAGAAACAAGGGGTGGGTGGGAGTTTCAAGGCTAATGGTGAGAAAAAAATTTGCACTCATAGAGGGCAGCACTGAATAAAAACTATTATGTGAGAGGAGGTAAGATATTGTATCGAAAAAAGCTTTCAACTCTTACCCTTCCTGCTCCTCCCCTGTTCCTGTGTAGTCCACACATATGTCTAAGTCTTCATAAAGTGCTCTCTCAACAATTCTAGAAGCTTTGCCAAAGAAGATATGGAATTCTTCACTCATCATAATTTGCTGTTTCTCCTCTTCACTCAGGTCCACTAGTAGAAACCAAGCAATGTTACTGATATTGAATCTTATGCTCCATCTGTGAATCTTTCAAGCAGACACAAAATATCACATTCCAAATGTGTGAAAATATTTTAGTTGTACTAGTAGAAATGCTAAAAAGAGAGTCAGTATTTGTGTAGGTAAATATAAATAAGATCACATGGCCAAAATGTATGAAAAATAGAAACAACATGAACTTGAAGCCAAAATACAAAAACGTCACTTTGAACCAATAATGGACTACCCCTGCTCTTAACAAATTTAAAACTAATTCATTTACTAAAATTTACACCAATATGTTTCATAGTTTAGTCCCAATAAAGCAACTTCATTTCTTTTTAAACACATTTTCAACTATCCAACTCACTCTTTCTACCAAAAATCAGATAAAGTATACATAAATGTACAACTGTCTGAGTTTAAGTACATGTAAGACCATATCATTTTGGCATAAAACACAAAAGATTATTAATAGTCTATTTTACAGAGGTACTGTAATCTACACCATGAATTTACTTTAATTCTCTATTCAATATAGTCATATTTTTGTGTAAATTCTATAAAAGGTAAATTACAGGTCACGATTTTTCTCTTTCTTATACATATAGATTCTATCTATACCAAATTCATTATCAAGCACTTGATACAAAAATATTTTCAAACATACCAATAGTTATATAGTTAAATTTATTTAGCACACATAATCCTTTTTCCTGAAATTGACACAAAATTTTCAACTACAGAACAAAGAACATATTAAAAAAGATACATACGTACATACAATATTCATTTCTATATAGTATATTATACATGAATACTGGCCATTTAGAGTAATGATATTGATTTCACACAGGTTATTTCCAATTAAGCAAGACAATACCTTTAATCTTTTCTTCCTTTTGTTGTTCAGTGTGTCCTGGTGTCATTGGGGTATCTCCCTCTGCTGCACTGGCTGGTCGAACCATTTCAACTTTGGGAAGTCCTGCAACTTTGTGGGGAGTATTGTGTCTTGGATAAATTGATGGGCTCTCCAAGTTTTTCGATGGCAGTGAGCAGCCTTCACCTTCCTCCTCCACTGGCACATCATCATAAGTGAGAACTACATAGTGAATAAGTTAGGCCAATTTCTTGTGGTATACTACTAATCAATAATTATTTCTCAGATCTTTTTCAAATTAAGAATGTAAACATTTTAAATGTATTATAAAAAACATACACAAATGCTTTTTAGTAACAAGGCCCAACTGAACTGTCGTTATTCTATGCTAAGAACAGTTTAGTTTTAACATGCAAAAAAATATATAAATTACTTGGAATCTTATTTTCCTTATTACTGTGCTATATACAAAAGTAAGCTTGCAGGCATAGCTACTTTTCACAATCTTGTTATAATCATCTCTAGATATCAAAACTTACTTGAAAGAGAATGTGATAAGTTAAAAACTGACAAACTTAGAAACAATACTACAAGAAAACTGTAATGTTATATAATATTGTTTAGAGGTACCTACTACATTCAGAAATATAAATGCAAAAGTGGATATAACACTGTTTATGGAACATTCCACAAGATGTTCTTTTAGAGTCACTAAGTATAACTGGAAGTGCCAGGTATGGGTTCAAAATAGAAGCAGAAACTACTGCTACATGTATATCAGTCTACATAATTTGTGGAAAGGATTTTACATAGCTTTTCTTTTTAAGTACAGAAGTTAAATGTATTTTCATGCAATTCTTAACTAATAATTATGGTGTATTTTTACTTTATAATTAAATAAAAATATCAAAGTAACACACCTATTAGAATTAATAAGGCTAAAAAACAGATAAAAGAACACTAAAATAATAAACTTTTAAAAATTATGCTCTAAACTAAGAATTTTCTTACCAGACAAATGAACACAGCATTTTTAAGCATTTTAAGGAAGAAGAAGGAACATAGGAAATATAAAGCTACAAATTTTCTAAATATAAGCAAAATAAATATTTACTGTTAAAGTGGCAGATAGCTTAATACCTTTGTCATAAATACAAATAATATTGTCAAGAGCTGAAACAAAGTTTATATTAACTTTTCAATTTATAGAAAAACGTTTAGCATCAAAACATAAAAACACTGCTGGAAGGAAAGTTTGGGATGATCCCTATTAGTCTAAGTTTATCGTGGATTAGAGAAAAATAATGGTTTTATGGTGGTGAATTTCATATATATATATATATATATAAAGTTTTAACTACTATTGGTATAACAAATCTAATAGCTATGTATAAACTAACCATATATATAATTATTTTATCTCTGCTTAATCATATGCTTACCACTCAATTTAATGTTTAAATCTCATTCCAAACACTACACTCAAATTATTTCTCTTTAATTTACTTGTGCATAATGGGATAGAATTTGTAAACAGTATTTTAAACCTTATATACAGAGTTCTTTACATACAGATAAGTTTGACAATATAGTAGTGCAGACTATTATCTCATCACTGTTAATGAACAGACCCAAAAATTGGATGAATATAAAGTTACTTCATGAATTCTGTTGCATATAACCCCAAACCATAACATACATGTTAGCAGAATTAAGTGTACAAATGCACAGGATCAGGAGGAACATACTCCCAGAGTTTGCATATATTGCCATCTATGATCACTATATGGCATCATGTGGAAATGGTCATGTAAGCAGCTTTTTTCTGATGTTGGTGTATAATTGTAAAAGAAAATATTAAAAAATGGAATTAGCAACACTGTATTTAACATTTTACTGATCTGTTGTAATGCATTACATACAGTATACACTGCCATTTTCAGTAACAGCTTCCAAATGTGGTAGAACATGGTACACAGCTTCAATGCTGCAGATAGCAAGAATTTTGTGCTTGAATGCTGTAAGATCAATGGTCATGGAATACCAACATTTTCTGACAGACCCATAACAAGAAACTCGGAGGTGTAAAATCTGTTGACCATGGTGGCTAATCCCATAGAAATCTTAAAGCACTGCATAACTGGTTCTCAAAAGTATTGGTAGTATGTGGAGATGCACCATTTGCATGGACACAGTTTCATGCTGAATGCTACTCTCGTACAAGGTGGATAACACAAAATTGGCTAACGTGTATTATAACATGCATCATAACCTGCAAGATCCTCAAAAATTGAAAACACTCACATAATCATCTTTTGGTATGAAGGAGCCTTTCAACAACTTCATATGGACTGACATTACCCTAGATAAATTTAATGATGAGGAACCCACTTTATAGAAAATAAAAGTTTGGAGATGGCTTGACTGGGTAATGAAGAAAACTTTATTATAAATGTACAATGTTTCGAAAAGATTATGTCATCCTCAGGTACAAGTAGTTTACAGAGATACATGAATATCTACACAGTAAGGAACAAAGTCACATGACCAGAGATTGCTTTACAGCTTAGTGTAGGCATCTTGGTACCCCAAGGTGTTGGTTTAGGGTGGGGCTGTTTTGTTCTATTAAGATAGCTTCCTTTACTCTGTGTTTACTGATAATTGGTTCTTTGTTTAAAATTACAGTATTTTGTACAGATATACTGTGTTTTTTTTAGTTGCAATGGTGGTAAACCTGGGATGGTTTTTTATTATTATGTTCAGTGAATTTGGTTTCCAATTTTCTTCTAGTTTCTCTGATATAGAATTCTGGACAGCTATTGCACGTTATTTTATAAATGATGTTTGTATTGTGTGATTTTATGTAATTTTCATTTAAAAATGATTTTAGTTTAGACCCAGGTGAATTTGAAGTCAACAGGAACTTTATGTTTAATGGCAAGTTTTCTCCAAGTGTTGATTATTTTTGAACTGATGTTGGGGATAAATAATAAACTGCAGTGTAATGTTGTCTTGTTGTTTGGTGTATTAGTGTCAATTTTGTTTGTTAGTTAGTTACGTTTTGAGGTTTTTGTTCTGGTGGTTATGTGGAAATTTTTTGACAATGGTTAGTGGACATTTGATGAAGGTGCTTTAGAGAGTTGATTTCTTCATCACTGTAGTCAGTTGAGCAACGTCTTGAAGCTATGCCTATAAGGTTTTTTAGTATATTGATTTTTTGTTTGGATTCTTGGACAAAATTCCAGTGGATGCAGAGGCTTGAGTGAAAGATTTTTCGGGAAATTTTGGTTTTGAACTGTGTCGGATCTAATGATGTCAAGGTTAAGAAAAGATAACTGTTTGTTATTTTCATGTTCAGTGGTGAATTTAATGTTAAGGTAAATGGAGTTTATGTGTTCAAAAAATGTGTGTTTATGTTTGGTAGAAGTGAAACCAACAATAGTGTTGCTGACACATCAGTACCAGTATAGGGGAGGAAAAATTGCGGATTGTATGGCTTATGTTTCGATTTGGGTCATAAGCATGTTGGCAAGAACAGGTGAAACAGGGTTGTCCATGCTTAAACCATCTATTTAAAGAAAGTTTTTGTTATTAAAAATGAAGTTGGTTTTTGCTGTTATGAATTCTAAGAGGGAAACAAAAAGCATAATGGGGATAGGAATTGGGATCATTACAGTAGAGGTCAAGAGCAATATTACAAACTTCTTTGATGAGAACTTCAGTGAAAAGTGACAATATCAAATCTAGCCATTAAGGCTTTAGAGTTATGACATAATCTTGTCAAAACATCATACATTTATAATTAAGATTTCTTCATTACTCAGTCCAGCCGTCTCCAAGCTTTTATAACCCTAGATAATTTAGATGTAGTAGTTCACTTAGCCAAGGAGATGGAAGTAGGCTTCATCAGTCCACAAAATGTTTTTAACCCAGTTGTCACCTGCTTAAACACATGCAATGAATTCCAGGGCAAAGTTCAACTGCTTCTCTAGGTTGGCAGGAAACAGTTGTAGTGTCTTGTGCATAACCTTCCACACAGTTTGTTGGCATCAGCAGCCAGTAGACCAAGCAACTTGCCGGGTGCTGAATTTCCCTGTGGGGATTTTCTTGTCCAATGGCACTTGACAGGTGTAGGTTGGCATCTTGACTGTGGTGTATTGGTCAGAGATCATGTCTCTTGAAATTTATCGATGAAATTGAGCAAGGTCCTTGGGCTACATGGGTCTCTGCAAACACATCTGACATGACAGAAGTCATTACATTCATTGCCATAGTAAACTTTACAAGTGCTATGTAATCTTGAAAAGAAATTGTTTATAGACATCACTGCAAGCAAAATGACACATTTGACAGCTCTGTGTGATAATGAGCAGTACCATGTATCTTTTACTCCCCTAGTTAACATGTGAATTGTTTCAAAATTCTGTTATTTCAATTCAACTTTCATATGGAAATTCATTCAAATAAACACGTATTAACTCTTAACTTTGCTTCTTTCTTGTTCTGCCCGGTTTGCTAACTGTCAGTTATCCCATTTTCATGCAGGAATGATAGGTATATAACAGCCAGAAATAGAAAGCTGTCTTTTCTGTTGGCATTGCTCAGACAAACCGTAATTTTTATAGCCTTCAATTTTATTTCGTTATAGAGCTATCAAACAGAAAATCAGACCCCTCCTGCCACACCCACCTGTCACATCCTCTCTTTCAGGATTTGTTAATAGTTCTATCTTATGTATAATTATATATTACGTATAACCAATAGAAAGCTAAGGTTTTCATCTATAAAATGATGTATTGTATAACGTTATATTCTGAACAAATAATCGTCAATTTCACAAGCTCCGTTCCAGTGAGAAAGTTAACGACTAGCTTGGATGAATTTGTAACACCTCTTGTCACATGGTTAGAAAGCCAGGAAAATTGTGAGAGATAAGTGAATTTGTGTACTTTTTGCATGTTATTAGTCTATATTCTTAATTGTTAAGTGCTTTATTATAATTACTACAAAAAATCAGGCTTAACTCTCCTCGACAACTGAGGGCAAAAAAAAGAAGATTGGGTAAGTATTTTATTTCTTGTTTTTCATGTTTATTCTTTATTTATTATTATAAAAGTAACTAAAATGTAAAAATTGGGATCTTTTAGGTTAGTTAAGATTAGATCAGGTAAAATAAATAATATAATAAAAATGTTTCATGAGGCATACATGTGAGCAGCTCATAGTAGCTCGTTGGTAACGTAATTTGTTATGATAAACGAATGTAGTTTCACGCTACATTTGAAGGCATTCTAAAAAGAAAGAGAGGGTAATTTAGATTTATTTTGATTTGGGGGGGGGGGATTATGAGGTCAATCATTGACCAACTTTGTATAGAGTTAGGGTAGAGAAAATAACTGATAAAATATAAAGTTTTACTGAATACAAACAAACATTTTAAATGTATTTAGGAGGTTTAGAGATTACACATGTGAAAATTGAGATTTTTGATATAAAGAAAAGTATTTTTAATCTTAACATAAAAATCCCTTTGCAAACAGACTATTCAAAACAAATACTCAATATATTCATGGCCAAATCTTTATTTTAGTTTAAGAAAAATACTTCACTAAAAATATGATTTTTTGTACATGAAAAACTGCCAAATTTTGTGAAGATATACAAATTATATTGAAAATTAGAAGTATTACATTTATAAAGATTTTAAACAACTACAAAGAGGTCATGTGGTCTGTAAAATTGACAAAGCCCACATTGAGAGTTAAAGCATTTTGTTATTACAACGCACCAATGTAAAAGAAGTTTTAAAAATACAACTTCATAATCTAACATTACAATAAAATATACTGACAACATACTTTTTCTAATATTAAAATAACACACATAGTACACTAAAAATATTGACCAACAATGTTCCATAATTGAGGTATTTTTGACAAAGCTAATAATGCAACAGAAAGAAATATGCAATACATCCTCAACATATATGCACTGAAGTAATTTACAAGTATTTAAAAAAAACATAAAACATCTTTCTTTATAAAGCAGTTATTAATGCTACAAATAAGTTAATTTTGTTGAATATTTAATCACGAAAAAAGTTTTCTTCAATACATTTTTGTTTTCAACATCTTCTATATTCTAGTTATAAAAGTTTAAAAAAATATTCAAACAGTTTAAAATATTACTAACTTCAAGTAGACATACAATATTTTAAAAGGGTTCTATTACTTCATTTTTATATTTTTATTTTAATGAAAAACAAGTTTTAGAAAGTTATTTCATAATTAAGTATTTGTACATTACAAAAAAATTAATTTGGAATAAATTATTTTCTCTTACATTACAAAATGGTGTTTTGGTTTAACTAAAAATACACTGATCTAGTCTACCAAAAGTTATCATTTTCCTATTTCTCGATCTTCATATTTACCAACTAACGTTGCATTTGCTTGCTCCAGTCTTTATATACCCCACTTGACTGCCCTTGGCAATACCTAATTTCCAAAACTTTATGCCGGCCCTCACACCCTCTATGCAAGTACTGTATATAAGCCTTGTATGCAGATAATAAAATCACTTTTTCACGATTTACCTAATTCCGGTCACTCACTAACACCGGCTTTTAGTGGGGAGAAAGGGAGGAAGAGTGTCAGTGGAGGTAAGTATGTTTGGAAATACATTTTCAGTTTAGGAAAATTATAACTTCCAAAACATACTTATCTTCACTGACACTAATAGCTAGAATCCCAAACTGAGAAGGCAGAGAAGTCGGTGAGGACAGAGATCATACAGAAAGCATCTGCAGAGAACAAATATGTACCATGAGAAGTTGTATCAAAGTGGAAAACACCTCACTACATGCAGAACAGGTTTGCTCTTCACCCCAAACTACAGAAAATTCAAAAGGGTGGAATATAATACAAATATGATGGTCCAGCCCCAACCAAACAGCCGAGGTTCCACAACTCAGGTTGGATTTAAGGGGTCATGGTACCCATATCCCACATTGGTGGCCAGAGCAGTTGGACTGTAGATATATATCTTTGTGATAGGATCCCTACCAGTAACCACAGAATGATGCATTTCGAACTACCGGATTTATGAAAGAAAGAAAGCAGCACCAAAGTGGACAATCCTTCTGATCAACCTGAAGAAGTCCAAAAGACAACATCCTAGGTCTGGATTGATGGGATCATATGCCATGCTCCACCAATGTCCTCATCCAAGTGGGCAAAGAGAATTCCACTTACCCATGGAATTATGGAGAGGAAGTGGAATACTGTCCCACCAAGGACCAAAGATGGGACCGCATCACGTTCACATTTATGAGGAGATAGCGGATCCCTTCATGAACAACACAAGACCTGACAGTGTTCATAAGAGGGTCCAAGCAACCTCCCCACCAGATAGCTAAGCGTCAAATCTGTACTAGTTTTACAAGTAGGCTTCCACGTAGGTTGGTCCTGCTCCTATCAACATCTGGGAAAATTTTCAGGGACCCAGGTAGGAGGGTCCTTAACTTCGCCCTCTTCTCCGAGAGTGGAAAAAACTCAACACTCTGAAGGAAAATCCTCTGTCCGCCACACCAGTGATTGGAAACTGGGTGTGGTAAGGACTCTCAAGCTCCACTAGTAGAAGTAAGGGAGGAACATAAGCATTGAAGAGTCCTGTGGAACGGACCTCCAGATACAGTGCAACAGGTGAACCACGTTCCCTAATCTTTGAAAGCAAACTGATCTCGACTAATTCAGCTCTGAGATCAGCAGGAACTGGTAAAATCCCCTTTAGCTTTACTCATGATAGTCCATGAGTAGAGGTTCATTAGAAATATTGTAATAACATATCACTATTCAGAATTGCATCCAGATGGTCTTATGGAACACCTCATCTCTCAAGAGCCCACTGCAACCAGGTTGCTAGTGCAGAATTTAAATAGAAACACCTGCCTGGGCAACATTCGCCACTGAGTGGGATCCAAAAGAAATCATTAGGAACCCTAGAAGTGAAAATAACAGTAACTGTAAGTCAGATAATATGTTACACATCTCTCTGTTAAAATCCAGTAGAGGTAGTCAACACAGCCACAGGGAGAAGACAAAATCCCATCGAAGAGGAAACTGCCAGATCATGAAGGTAAGGAGATAAGAATGTGTCAGGAAAAGTCCACATACCGGCCCACAAAATATCTTCTAGAGAACAGTTCAGCTGGGCAGCCAAAGACATCGATAGGTGTCAAATCTGGTGAGAGGTTACATGGAGCATATTGCGATCGTTAACAGATAAGCCCGAATAAGCAATATGGATTAACTTCCAAAGCCATCTGGTTAAAGTAACAGGTGAATAAAATGTGTGTTCCTAGGGACTTGAAATGGTTCCATACCACATAACATCTGAGCACCCTGATAGGACATAACAAATGATCCTCGTCTGATCTACTGTAAAGATGAGAAAAACCATGTAAATGAATAGGAGAAAAAGATGTGTTTCCTTCTCTGGCAGCGAGAGTTTTTGGGATAAATGATCGGTCGGGATAGAGCAAACCATTGGTAGAATGATAGAGAGTCTGCTGAACATGGCAAATAAATCAGAACAACGGCATCCAGAAACTAACAGCAATAAAAAATAAGCTTTAAGAGAAAGGTGATATAATGAACAGAAGGCCATGGGTTCGAAGGGATGACATGTTAAAGCATGTAAAACAACCCTAAAGTCCCAAAGAAGCTCTAGTGGAAGAAGGAGCAGGAAACAGGGAATCTAAGTTCTCCCCAGAATATACCATTACAGAAGGAAAATTCAAATCAGCACCTCCTGGAGAGATACCCCCGGGCCATATGAAGGACTGCATATCGCTCGAATCAGATAATGGACAGCTTCCATGGAGAGTGGCTTCCCCCGACTGCTGACAACCACTAGATAGATGAAAGTTGAGTAGACTCCGTGATTGAAACCGTTACATAGGAATTCATATGCAAATGTTTTTTTATGTAATATATTAATAGAAAAAAAACAAAAAACAAATTCAACAAAATATATATCTATGGATAACAAATCAAAGAATTCCCGATTATTAGAAAGTGAAAACTAAGAAAATATAAATCATGAAACGTTAGTGTGAATCCTCTCGCTTTGTCAAGAAAAAGTGATTTTATTGTCTACATACAAGGCTTATAAACAGTACCTGCATAAAGGGCGTGTGAGGGCAGTGTAAATTTTTCAAATTAGATATTGCCGAGGGCAGTCGAGTGAGGTATATAAAGACTGGAGCAAGCGAACACAACATTAGATGACAAAGATGAAGATCGAGAAATAGCTTTTAGCGGAGATATGTATGTTTTGGAATGTACTAATGTTTAATGTAGTAAAATGATGTTTGAACTTACAACTGAAATGATTGATAAAGGAAAACTATTTGTAAGCTATCTATACCACATTTATGTATAAATTAATTGTATTGCTTTTGCTGTTACTTAGAATATGCTTTCAAACAGCATGATACAAGACAAACAGTAGTTACTATCTAACTACTCTGTAGAAGCTGACTACTTATGATGAAAACATTTCACTGTCTATTAGTGAAGAGAGCAATGGTTTACCATGAAAAATTCTTAAAAGAACCTTAACATTAATGAAAGCTCAAAATGTGGAAAATTAGAAGTGATAAACCAAGCAAAGAAAAATTAATAACAAATAAGTGGAAACTGGACAGAAAAGAATATATCTACACATCTTGTTATCCTGGTGAGATGTTTCAAATAATGACTAGCAAAATAGACCTACCTTGAAATTCATCATCCCATTCTAAAACATGTAGAAAAAACAAAATGACCATTGTCTTTGAGTTGAAAAGAAATTGAAGAAAACAGTTTAAAAGTATGCATAAAAAGTTTAAACTCCACAGCAATTCCACAACCCCTTCTTAAATATCTGTCACAACATTACCTCCAGAACATTTTTCAACATTTATAATTATCCTTTCAAAATATGGATTATTACCAAAACATGTTTTAAAATTACCATTCTTCCATACTGAATAGATATTTTATGCTTAAATTTAAAATATACTGGTAAAGTAGAAACAGAATCAGTTATCACCAATAGTACACTTAAGGGTCTTGAAAATACACAATTATTTTACCTCGTGTGTTTTTGATGATGCTTAACATATACCTTGTAACGTATTTATTTTTATCAATTTTTGTTTTTCACACATTTATAGTTAATAACTACAAAGACAAAAATACAATTCATTTGTAGAATCATTTTGCCAAAAATCCTGTTTAGCTCCTATCAATAGTGATAGAAACATGAACTCCACCTCTTCATAATATTTACATAATTACTTCAGTTTAGAGAATACTGGGAGAGAGCATGCATTCCAATTATACCTAGTTCTATGCTACAAATACTACACAGTGAATATACAGCTTGGTCTAGCTAATAGAACAATATTATGCACATTTTATTCTAGAAAATTGTTAAATAAAATTTCAAAGATAAAACTGATTAGCCTAATGTGCAGTAGATTCAAAAAATGAAGCCAAACCACTGGCACTTTTTGAATGTGTCATGCATTTAAACACTAAAAGCTGAAATTCTGATGTAGTTTGAACCTGTAACATATTTCAGTGCTGAAGCTGAAGTTCTGATATTACTTGAATATTGCATACAAAAGTTCAAACTGAAACTTTTTTACTGACTGAATGTATAGTACAATCAAAAACTAGCTAAAACCTTGGTGATGTTGGAATGTGTTCAGAATTTCTAAGCTTTACTATACACAATCTCTGATACTGCTTAAATGTGTAATACATTTCAATGTTCTAGCTGAAACTTGAGTATTGCCTATATTGAATATGTGAAATAATACAGGGAAAATATGATATTTTTTAAGTATATTTATATTATTTTAATTTTAAACTTTGACACTTCAGCTTCTTGATAAAAGAAATATCATCTCAGAAATATCATTATGCTTTGTATTATTACTTTACAAAAAACACATTAACAAGTATTATTTATGATGTTTTAGAAATATTAGCCACAGTGAAATCATTTCCATACAGCTTAACTACTTGTTCAAACATCTTTTAATCAATACCCCCTAACATGAAAATGTTTAAATTTTATGCAGTTTATATATATATTACAGAAAATTATAGTTTACTTACCTTCATCCCAATGAATAACTTGTGGGAAATAGTAGATTGAGGTATTAAAGCCGATTAAATGTACTTATATTACATTATACACAGATGTATCAACAAGTCTTAATTTAAGGTTTAATAAAGTTAATTTATTTCTTTTGCATCAGATCAAAGTTTGTATAAACAAATTAAACTAAATTTAGTCTATAAATAAAAACTGGATTTATAAGTAGTGGCATCATGATTTGGGTTATAAAAACTGTATTTATAAGTAATGGCATCATGATTTAGGTTATTTATTTTCTGAGAAATTCTTGCATTCTTTTTAAGAGAGCTTTTTAATTATTACAATGTTCTCTAAGAACAAAATGGTAGAAAATATCTCGAGTTGATTCTTATTTACTTAATTAATACTAATTCATGACAGTTAGAAATAGTAATATTGAAAATGGTATATTTAATATAATAATTAATTCAAATGATTTGTATATTTCCAGCCATAACTCAAGGCATTAAAATATTCAAGTTTTCTTAAAGAAAGATACAAATTATCAGTAACAATAAGAAGTGAGAAAAATAATCGAAATGTTTTTCACATCATGGCTGTTTTTAAACATGGATCTATAACAAGTAACAAAAAGTTGGTATGTTTTGTTACAACGTTTAGTCCTTCTAATAAGCCAAACGGTACATTTTACATGTACAGGTCAGAACACAACTTACACAAGATTCAAAGATATTTGAAGGAAGTTAACAGTTAAGAATAATCAAAAAATATTACATAAATTTTTATATATATATATATATATATCCATCAAAGTAACACTAACTGTTCAAATTAGAGATGTCAAATAAGAACTTGAAGCATTACTACCTTTGCAAAAGTAAACTGAATTAGTTCTCTGAAGTTTTAAGTAACATGCAGCCCTTAAAAGTTTTATTTAGTGCCCAAATCATTTACTTAACTTTTATCTATAATCTACAGGTAATTTAAAAGCACCAGAAACTTCTTTGATCAAAAACATAAATCTTCTACCCAAAGAATTAATGTCAAATTTGAATTATACAATATTTTTCTAAATTTCAAACCTCTAAGGCTGACGATCAGCTGCTATGCTACAAAAATAATGATGAAACAGAAATAGAAAATCCAAGCAATTTTCCTACAGCTTAAAGAATAGTCAAAGTTACAAACACACTGGACATTGACTGAATACCAGCCAACGTTAGTGACAGGGTCTAATATTAACTTTGCAAAGGTTCACAAAACCTAGCCTGGTGGTAGATGGTAGCCTTAGTAGTTACTAATTGGAGGAAAGTGTCGATTATGAGTTTCAATATTTTTGCAGACTCTAGAAATGGTTTGATAGCGATCAATACATTTCCATTTTTTCACTTTTATTTGCTCTTGCAAAAAGCAAAAGAATAAAAGTAGCCTACAAAAGCTTTTACATACATCATAATAAAATACAGTCAGAATCAAGAACAAATATTCAACTAAAATATTCGCTATTAGGAGAAAAACTCACATTACATGGATTATCATAAACATTGACTTTCCCCCTTAAATCAGAGAAAAAAAATAAACATTTTAAATCTGACCAGAAATTGTAAAAAGATGCCAAAAAACTGTATTTTATTTTTTCTTTCAACTATTAAACATTAAGTTTATTTTTCTCCTCCCCCCAAAAAACATTCTCCAACAAGTTTTCTAGCCAATAGATTCGATGAGGGTAGGCAGATTGCTAATAAATGTATGAAACCCTGCTCCATATTTGTCTATTATTTGTTTGTAGCTGCCACAATTTTATTTATTCTTATTTTCCTGGACTTTCCCAGTTTTACTTCACTGAAATGAAATTAAAGGCTTTTACATGCCCGAGAGAACAAAATTATATATTCCCATACTTCTTCTAGTTTCACACACATGTGGGAAACATGCATTGACTGGTAATTAATGTTAAGATTCAGCATTAATGCAGAATGTATTATAATGATTACTTATTTTTACATCAACAGAAACTGCTGATTTTCATTGATTAGCTGTTCAACTTATGTATACGGGTAGGTCAAAGTGCACACTTATGACCTTTTAGACAGTTACACTCAAAATGTATGTCAATGTATGTCAACAAACCTGGCATCAAAATGTAGTTTATATTTCATTTCTAATTTTTAGTTGTAAAAGGAAATATTTGAACAAATTTTCAATATTCACTTCTCTGTATCATGTGACATTTCTATGGTCTGAATTGCCCATTTTAGATTATATTTTTACCCTTATATGACCTTTTGAGTTTGTCACAAATAATATGCTCATAGAATAGATATTGCTAAGACTTTATATAAATTTATAATCTCCAATCCCCTTGATTTACTGAGACATAAAGCAGAAAGTTAAGTCCACATACCACATCCTCCTATCACATCCTGTCTTTCACAAATTGTCATTAATTCTCTCTCTGACATTTACTAATGGATTATTTGTAACCAACAGAAAAATATTGTAATTTACTGAATTCCCTATAAGTGTAGCTCATACTTATGACAGTTTTTAAATTATTCAGCCTACAGTTTCATTGTTGCAAACAAAATTACTTAAACCCACTTATAGCTTAGTTAGAAAGCCAGTTAAATTACAATAGCTTCAGGTCATTGTATGTTCTGCATATCATTATTTTGCATTCTAAACTGCATATTTTAAATAAATAAAAATTACATTAAGGACAACCAACAACCCTACCAAAAGTAGGAGTAACTTTTGTTAAGACTCTAATGGCAAAAATTTGAAAACGTACAAGACTCACATTTAGGTAATAAACTTCATTTTTTATGTATTTTTGAAATTAGTGTTATAAAAGTAACTAAAATGTAAAAATGAGAAACATATTAGGTTAGATAAGAGTTTAATATAAACAAAATTTGTGACAGCAAGCATACACAAATCGTGAGCACAGCATGACTGTAATTTGACCAGTTCAAGTGCTCGTAAATCAATCCTTTGTTTAGAGAAAGCTGCCTCTGAAATAAATTGCTTTTGCCATATTTTAACTTTAGCCATAAAGTAATAAATCTAATTGACCATGAGACTTGTAAGCTGTAAGAATAGTAATTAAATGTATGTTACAATGTGCAGTCATTCTGGAAAGAAAAAGGATTTTGATTTATTTTGTACTTTTGTTTGTTTCGTGGTGGTTACAAGATTAGTCAGCCAAGTGCACCATGCTCATATACAGTGTTAAGGCAGAAAAAAATAAGATAAAATATAAAATTTTAAATATTCATTTAAGTGGTTCTAGGAGTTATGAAAATGAAATATGAAAATGATAAGGTGAAAAACAAAGTATTTTTAACCTGAAAATCCCCATGCACTCAGACTGGCCCAGTAAAGGCTTCGTAAATTCAAAGACAAATCTTCAGTAAAAATAATCTCTTAAAAATCTGATTTTTTATGCACAACAGAATTGTAATGTTTATTAAAAACTTGCCAAATTTCAAGAAGATAAACTTGGTAAATTCATATTTATAATATGAATAGTTTAATGGTTATGGTGGTTACAAGGTTGGTCAAAACAACCAAGTCCATACACAGAGAGTAAAAAGTAAAACAAGGGTCAGATATTTTTTCATTCATACATACAAAAATAGTGTACTACAAAACCCATTTTTCATGACAACTAAAAGTCTATAAAGTTATATTTTCCACATTTGCACTAAATGTGCAATGTGAGTAAATGTATCATTTTGCAGATACAGTAGATACACAGATGTACTATACATAATGACAATTGCCTTCAAATTACAGTGTATTTTGATTTGGCTTTAATTCATATCATGCACAACTCAAACACATGGGTTCTGTTTCTATCACTATCTACTGCAGGTGTTGCAGTTTTAGACACACAATAAAGAACAACTGGTCAGGTTAGCAATCGAAGGTTAACATGAGGATTAATATTCAAGAAGTATCTCAATGAAATAAGTACAATGCTTTTCTAATAAGCATTTTAAATCATGTTATTTTTGAATATTCAAATTATAAGAGCATTCCTACACAGTCAAACATTAGCATTTTCCTACACTGAAAATGTATTTCCAATACGTACCTCCACTCACAAAATAGCTTTTCTCGACTAGCACTGCCCCCTATTGGCACAAATTTTCAAAGCATGCCACTACCCTTCCATCTCCTGCATATCCACATGCAAATGATCATGCAACAGCTCTCCACCAATAGGAGTACGACACCACTCCTATCTTAACCAGCACCCTCTTCACATCTGCACTCATTAATCACTTCGAGATTGGTCAGAAGACCTACACCATAGGTGAGAGGAGGTAAGTATCTATTGGAAATGCATTTTCAATGTAGGAAAATGCTAACTTCCGAAACAATATCTTATCTCCTCTCACAAAATAGCTAGAATCCCACACTGACATAAAAGCCAGAAACATGAAGGAATCCCAGAATATGTATGACTAATGAATGGGATTCCTGGGTGTCGAGTGGCTAGGGTGCAACAGACCATAGTAGTAGTAAAGTACTACTGCCAATCAAGAAGTGATTAATGAGTGCAGATGTGAAGAAGGCATTGGTTATGAGAGGAATGGTTTCGTGCTCCTACTGGTGGGAAGCTGCTGCATGTGGATAAGGAGAAACAGGAGGTGTAAGGCTAGTGGCATGCATTGAAAGTTTGTGGCAATAGAGGGCAGTGCTAGTCAAGAAAAGCTATTTGGTGAGCAGAGGTAAGATATCACATCGGAATGAACGTTGCTTAAAAAATTATTTAGTAGTGTCATATACAGGTAAACAGGCTACTTGAATTAGAAAAGAATTATTTAAGTTTATACCATCATGTTTATCCACAGATTGACTTACGAGACATGTTTAAGCCTTTTTTTCAGGTTTAAGGATCAAATACCTATATTTAAAACTTCAAATGTGGAACACAAATGTAAAGTGTCCTTAACATGATTTAGGTGATACTGGATTCACACTAGGCTATTACAAGTTTGAATATAAGAACATAAAAAATTAAAAATCTACATCATGTTCCAACACTGAAAAACCATTTACTAAAGAAGTGTAAATAACCTATAAACAGAGTACAATATAAAATTCTCAAAAAATGGAAATAATAAGCAGGAACTTCTCATAAGTTCTATTGATCAACAGACTTCAATTAAAGTTAAATGAATACAGTGCAGTTCATTTATTTTTAAATCTATAAGCATTTGTGTTGTTATAACGGATGGATTAATAAAACCTAAAAACCTAATTTCTTGTGACAACTTCTTACATTTACACAATGTTAACCTATAAAATTCTAATTAATTTTCTACAAAGTGTACCATAATAAATAGTGTAACAATATTCACCTAAAAATACTTATTTATTAGTAATCTGGGAAAACAAGATTGAAACAGAAGCATATGTTAGAATTACAAAAAGACATGATATAAAATACCTACTGTAATAATCCAAAGGGTGAGCTGTTGGAGAAAAATAAAGACATTTCAGAAACTATATTATATAAATCAATGTCAGAATATAATCCACACAAAATTTGTACCAATATGAAAGATATGAAGAACTTTCAATAATATACTACACATATAAGGCATACAATACAAGCTCAATTAAGAATTAACCTTTACAAAAGTCATATATCACTTAGTGGGTAATATAAAGTGAAACATATTAAAAAAATTACAGAAACTGAATTTCACATTCTTTCATAATCATATTTAACTGAAGAACTTACAGTTTCTGTTTTTTATTTCATATATTTCATTGAGCACACAGAATGACCAGATGTAAAACATTTTATTCTATGGTCTCTTTTATTGTTTTATACTGTGAATTTTGTAGACTAAGAGTTTATTATTTATACAGTATAAAGATAGTCTTACTTTTAGTTTCCTGTTTTATCATACTTACCTACCATTTAGTTCCTCACAGGTACACAACACAAAATTTAATATTTACCACTGGCCAAAAAACATTGCTGTTAGAAAAGCTTTAGCATCAAGCTGTATTTTTACTAATACGTGTTATAAATAAAACATAAATATACACACAAAACACAGAGAGAGAGGGAGAAAAAAACTAATAATACTCACTATACAGTTGCAATGCTATTTAAAAGCACATAAATTTAAAATGTTTAAAATAATGTTTGCTTCATGTTTCAACTACTGCCAAATACCATTATAAATACATTACCTACAATGTTTATATGGCACTTATTCTATTCACTAACTTGAAATGTATCATGAAATCAAGTTATTATAGGCATGCTAAATGGAATGCTAGTCAGTCAGGTTTTAGAGATTATTTGCATTTTTTGTAATATGTTAATTTAAATATCACAGTACATTTTTAAATTTTACATCATACAAAGTTATGCTTCTTACATAAGAAAATACTGCATTTTTAAAGCCAACAAATATAAAATTTAGCATTTTCATACTGAAGCATAATACATGTAATAGCTTTAAAATTACAATTTTCTCAGCAACTTTGCAACACACACTGGTGTGTACTTTACTCACATTTTCAGGGAAATGCTTCTGATTTATAACTAATGTAAAGTTATTTGAAGAACTTTATACTTTTGTTTGACCATGAAGTGACATTATATATCCGTATCTAAATCTTGATTATTTTTAAATTATCTGTATCATTTCTTGATACATTTTTGTGAAATAGCTCACAAACAATTTTGTGACATTTTATACACAGGTAAGAAAGTGATATCAGAAGCTAAATTTTGTATTATTTTCCAAACATAAGTTGATATGTTTCATGGTATCAAATTATTCATCAAACCAATAAACTTGTTTGTATTAAAATGTTATACTTCTAATTTTTCTTCTTTGTGCTAACTAATATCTATTTTGCCTTAAGAAAAAAAAGAAACAAACAAATAAATGTGCCAGGAATATAGAGGTGTTTTGGAGTTCTCCAACACAGTCACAACTTGTGTTTACTTTGCTCTTCACAAACCTTTTCGAGTCCTCCAAAAATGACCATTTTCCTTAAAAGGTGAAGTGCTCAGTGAGCCTTATGCAGCAGGAAAGAAAAAGACAGAGGGCAAGAGTGATTAACATTCTTAATTGATTCTTCCTTGGAAATGAATTGAAAGTAACACCCAGTGTGATTACAAAACAATTTCCACTGCACTACTGGTTTTATACTCTTAAAGTTAAAATTTTTTTCTTTCTCAAACTGAAAACTGTTAACTAATTTTTCAAATTGATCTGGATGTAAATATTACATTACAATGCATGTACAGACATTAGATATACTACTTTTAATAATACTTTTGTATATCATGTATCAACAACTTGAAAATGACTGTATACCT